TTCCCCTTGCCTAGGGGACCTAGTTGGGATTGCAGCTGTATCATCTTGTTCTTTAGCAGCCTGCCTTTAGGAAGTTTTCAGAACTTCATCTCACTCCATCCAGTGCTCTGTGTTCCCCCCAAATCCTACGGTGGTAGGGGTTTAGTTCCCACATGGTGCAGACCAAGTGAACGCTGGGTGCCGGGTGACCCTGGCCTTAGGAGTTGGCAAGGGGTTTTCCCTGCACCGAGCAGTTCAGTGGACTCCCCTCCCCTCCCTCTGTTCTTCCTGCGCCCTGCTGCCTGCTCGGCTGCTGCCATCAGTTATCCATTGACGCAGTGATTCTTTGTTGCATGATTTAAAATACTAAGCACTCCTGTAACCTTCAAGGTCATGGGTAGGTGACTCAGGGTGGCAGGTGGTCCTGGTCACAGCTGAGACTTCTCAACGGGATTTGAAGATTGAGGGGCTATAGAGGGTGAACTTCAGAAATAAGTCACATTTAGCTCCAAATGTTTGAACATGACCAACTGAGAAGGTGAATGTTAATAGAAAAAGTTTTGAGGTCCACAAAATAGAAAATTTAGGGTGTGGAGGAGCACAGGTTAGGGAAGTTACTTTAGATAGTCTTGAGCTTTTGCTTATTGGCCTAAAATCCTAAATTGTTTTAAAAATACTGGAATTTGGTTATTGCGGTACCCCAAACTAAAGTTAAAATATTTTTTCATATGCAACTGCCAGTGGGGATTCTACTTAATGGGGGGATCAACTAATGCTTGCTTCCTCCCAATCCCTTGGCGTTCCTTTTTAGAGTTTGTGGTAGGTTCCTCTCTGTTTTCCCTCACTGGTCATTTATGATGTCCTCAGTCCGTGAGACCTGCCGACGATCACAGGGTTTCAGTGGTCGTCCCTCAAAGGAGCCCTGGAGGTACTCGGTCCGACTCTCCTTGACAATAGGAGGCCAGCGGAGCTCCCGTAGACCTGTCCCAAGTCGTGTAACCGGTGAGTCGGAAGCACGAGACTAGATCCCTGGGCCCTTAGTTCCATGCCAGTGGTTCGGTTTCGTTGCGGGGATGTTCTTTGACGTTGTAGGGAAAACAGTAGAGACCCCGATGGGAATGGGAAATGATCTGTGATGGCATTTGCGGAGTGCTTTGTATTTATAAGGCGCTCTCAGGTACTTCCGCTTGCGACTGAAATGAGGAGCTGCAAGAACCTCAGAGTTAAGTACTGCTTCTAGATTTTTGGTCTCTTCCTCTGTAATAAAAGGAATTCTGTTGTTCTTCCTCATAGAATTGTTGTAGGTGTTAAATACATTGTTACAATTTAACCACTTAGATTGGTGTCTGGCACGTATCAATTATTTGCTCTTTTTACTTTTGTTATTATTTGTTACTGTTTGGACCTCCTTCACACATCATACATGCACTGTGGACTAATGGGGAGAATTCCAGTCCAATTTTATTGTGACTTGGGGAGAAGGAAGGAGTACAGAGACTTCAGCCCTCACAGTGCTTCCCTGTATGAGCTGAGGGATCTTAGCATCTGACCTAGTGTTTACCAAAAAAGGGGCTTTACCATTTTGGCTTATTTCTCAATTAATAATTGGTTAACAACTAGAAATAGAAAGCTTGAGAGAGGCCTTTTCTCAATGACCGCTCTATGCATCATTCTAGGCTTTCATTGTCTTGGTATATTACATTTTAAAAGTAAATTATTTGGTACCTATAGGAGCCTAAGTTCTTGAGGAAATGGCATTTCTTAAGGAGGAAGAACGGGGACACTTTATAAATATAACTCACTGAAATAACCACCATAGTGAGCTTCCACTGAAACAAAATATGAACTTACCTAAGTTTAGCATTGAGAAGAATGCTAAACCCTGTGGTTTGCTGTGTTATAGAAAGGAAACCACATCTACTTTTTCCACTGGGTTAAAATAAACCAGGAACAGAAGGAACCTAAGAAATGAAGCTTCCCAAAGCAGATGAACCCAGGAAGCACTTTTTCATTCAGATGTGTTGTGACTTGAAGGCACCCCAGCACCTTTTCCTTCCCACCCTGCCATCCCCCTTCCTGCTGCCATCTATCCTACATCCTGTAAAGAAGGAGCAGAAATACCCAGAGCTGGTCTTTGTTGAGTTACCCTGAAAATGCTAGTCGTACTCAAGGCAGAGCTGAGCGCAGACGCTTGGGATGCCTTCACCCCGGTGCAATCACAGACTCGCTTGATGCTGGGGTCAAAGCCGAGGGCATTGCCTCAGAGAAATACACAGATGCAGACACACAAGCTCTGTGTACTTCCTGGAAGGGGTGGACTCCCTCAAGCCTGTTCTGGGACATTAGTGTGATGTGCCTGTGTTGTGAGAGCTGCCAGCATTCCTGGCCTTTCTCTCTGAGCTAAGGGAGGAGAAAGGACTTAAACGTAGGCTTGGGGATGGATTTGGTACAGAACTGTCTAAAAGCTGGCTCTGTTTAGTGTGTTTCGGGCTCACCTCATTTTCCCCACTCATTAAATACTTGAAAGGTCAGATCCACAGCTGTTCATGAACCCAGAAAAGAAAAAGAGGGGCAACAGGGAAGAGACGTGCCTCCGAGTGACACTGTCACCACCTTGCAGTGCCATTTGGATCCACTAAACTGTGAGAAAACAGAGCTGTTACCAGACGCAAGAGGGTCCTCTTGGTGAGCGTTAGCCAAACATAGTCACACCACGCAAGGCTCAGCTAGGAGCAAGCTTTATTCCTTGGCACAAGTGAGACTGGGGCTGGCTCCGGGGCCGTGTCTCCCCAGGGCAGGGTATCATCTGGGTCTTAAGGGCTGCGGAGCGTAAGCAAGGGGCTGTAGGGGTGTGTTAGCCAAGAGGTGGGTGAGGTTGGTGCAGGCGCAGGGCTGATGACGCTGCTCATACACCACACGCTCGCTTGTGGACATCTTCTCACTAGTTGAGTGAGTGGGGTCACCAGGAGATAGTTTGGGAATCTCAATCATCAGTCCTCTGGCTCCAACTGGTCTGCAGTGTACACGCTTGGGGAGCGTGGAGTCCACCTGCTGGAGTCTCAGCTCCTGGGAACCAGCTCAAGGACATGGGACAAGACTTTATCTATAGCTTTTGAGGGGAACTGAAGTCGTGCAATGCTGATCACATCTCAGCTAAGCTAGTACTCCTGTCGCCTAACCTGCTCTTCCTCTGCTCCTGGTGCACATCCATTGCCCCAGTCAGCTCAACTCTCGAGTCCCACTCCCACACTCTGGCTTGGAGGGCTGGGAGCCTGTACTGGAAGCAAAGTCCGAGAGACTTCATCCAGGAGCGGGTACGTGCTCACAAAAGCAAGTTGTCAGGAGCTGTGATATATGCCTGCCCTATACAAAGGGTTACCCGGAAGGCCTCACTTTTGCCTTTCGGGTAACAAAACCACACATTTTTGTGAGCATTCATCAAGACGCACGTTTCTTTGTGATACTAACCCACTCAGGTCTCACAAAAGGGTCTCTCTCCTGCAGACTATTCTCTTTGTGTAAAGAGATCTTATTCAAATGCAAATTTTAAGAGATTCTGGGAGAAATCCTTTGAGGAAAAATTGGGTAAAAAAGAGTAAAAGAAAAATGAAAAAGTAGGGGAAATCACAATGAGGTGGGACATGCTTGCTGGATTATTATATTGCATGGCTTTTTCCCTCCACTCTGTACTTTAAATCTAGAAATTTACATGTAGGTAAAAGTGACTTGCTGGAGGTTTTTGCTTGGGGTTTGTCAGTAATGTCCTCTCGCTTCCCTTCCATCATCTGTCTGAAGGCCAGCCGACCACATCTTATATATGTTCCTTGTGGAGCCGCCGTCTGTTTCTGAGCGAGAGCTCTGGTAGTTGGAGGGTCCGCACGAGTTCCTGACCCACTAGAAGCTGACATTCTGGTACTGTAGTTTGGTTCTGTAGGGGAGGAAACATTTTTCCTCTACCCTTCTAGGTTCTTCTGACCGCTCTATTAATTAAATTGACATAAGAGATTGTTGAGACAAAAACAGACTTCATTTCCTATATACAGGAGCCTCACACAGACATGAGAGGTCCCAAGATAGTCAGGCATTTGAGGTTTGTATGCCATCCTGAGCTAAGGAGATGGGGGTAGTTCTGGGACTTCAAATGGGAGGAAGAAAATTTAGAGGAAGGTGGAAAGAGCAAATGCTCCCCATGCCTTGCAGATAACTCTTTCTGATTTATTAAAAATTCTCTCTGGTCAAAGCTCTCTTCCCGGTGTAGGCCTGGTATCTAAATTCTTTTAGGTAGTTGAAGGAGAGGCAAAAAGCTTTTCTTGAGTGTCCTGGGCCCTGATTGTCTTCTCTTGAAATTATCCACATGCCCAAGTGGCACATTTTACAGAGGTTCATTCTGAACCCCTTCAGTTCCAAAGGCCTAGGTGGCTGAGAACTATCCACTGCACACAGGTGAGCTCTGACACTGACTTTGTTACCTTGACTCCATTTCTTGACCTCACACGACCTTGAGGTCCTCTTTTTTCAGGGTTAAGACATTTGTGAGATATTTTGTGGGTTGAAGACATGGTACCTTTCAAGTTATATTAAGTAGGTAAATAAACCCTTATACTTTCTAAAATAATCTCTGTGATGAGTGTAACCATATAGTTGCCACAATACCTGGGTTATTGTAGTAAAATCTATAGCTCACAGCCCTAGGTCCTGTTCTGTATATTGCATTTATTCCTCCCAACTTTCCTGTGATGTTGATAATACTATTATCCCCTGTTTTTTAAGTGAGAAAAACAGAGGTGCACAGAGATAAAGAAACTTGCCCTCGGTCTTCCAGTCAGTAAGCAGCAGAGCTGGGGGGTTTAAAGCCAGGTGGTTTGGTTCTAGAAGCTGTATTCTTAGTTATAGTCCTTTCCATCTTATTTTGAGCCACTGCATCTTCACATCAAAAGGCAATTTTTACGCGTGGTGGAGAACATTATGAGTGGTGGTCTCTGACATGTACTTAAGATTTTCTTTTTTCTTTCCTGTTTCAGGTATCTGACAGCAAGCAACAATAGAAATTTCCTGCTTACCATGAGGCCATTCTTAAAAAGGGCCATTTTGGTCATAAGTTATGTAAGTATAGATATGCTTTTGAAATATCAGATAAGGACATTTTGCTTTAATTTGGCTCAGAGAAATGATCCAGATTGTTTAGCAGAATCAGCAGTAGATTCTAAGAACATGAGCATAGGACCCGAGAGTGTACATGCCGTCAATGTACAGGACTTTGACAGGTCTATATGAACGCACTCCAGGGGTTCGTGTGCTCACTGGCACAGGCAGTGTGAACCGTGATACTTTACAAGCCTCTCTCAGAGTGCTGGTGGTGAGTTGTCGCAGTTACACAAACCTGGCTGTATCTATTGCTGTGTAACAAACAACCCAAAATGTAGCGGCTTAAAATGACCACCACCATAAATTTTGCACTGAATGCCCTAGTTTGGGCAGCCTCCAGCAATGGTTCTGTTCATCGTGATTTTTGGCTGGGGTTACACGAGCAGGTTCACGCAGCTGTGAGCTGGGTGAGGCCATCCCTCTGTGGCGTCTCATCCTCGAGGGCCCCTCCCTGTGGCCTGACCCTCTAGCAGAAAATCCAGGACTTCTTTACAGCAGCAGCTGGGTTCTCAAAGAATGACTGAGAAGTTGCAGGATCTCTCAGTCACTGGGCCCAGAACTGACACAGGCTACCTTCTGCCACATTCTGTTGGGTGACGCAAGTTACAAAACCAACCCAGATTTAAGGGGAGGGGCAGCTGGCTCCATTCCTGATAGCAAGAGCAGAATGCATACGCAAAGACGGTAGGCATTCTCGGTGGCCATCTTTGGTGGCTGTCACATTAATCATTTTTTTATGTCATTGGATGTTTCTATTCAAGGAGATTAGGAGGCCAGTTTCTTATGTTGTTGCAGTTTATTTCTGACAAACTCAAAAGTGACAATAAATTTTGATAGGAAACTTAGGAAAATGTCTTCAAATTGTAATTGTGACTTTTTTTTTCTCAACCCTAAAACGTGTGTATGGAAGAAGAGCATGTAAAAACAGAATGAGGTGGAGAGCCTTGACTGGACAATTTCAGCAAAAGGGCAGAACTTTTCTCTAAAGCACATTCCCCAGGATCTCTGCATAGAATTAGGATGATTCAATGCTTGTTTCAGAATAGATTTATTTTCTTAGAATTGTATGGGAATGCAGGTAGTCTGATATCATTGCTACGATAAAAGTTGTCAAATACTAACCTGTTTGTTCTTTTTACAATTTATTTTCAAAGCAGTTTCTGCCATTTATCTTTCTATTCTTTTTGTTTTAATTTATCAGTTTTTTTTCCTCTTAGTATTTTATGGAATTCATATATTTTTTCCTGTTATTTTCATATTGACATACCTATTTATAGTATCTTTAAGAATTTAAGTTCAGTTGAATAAGCCATTGTGTGTTCGTCAAGATGATTTTTAATTGCTGCCTAGGTGCTATTTACTTTGATAATGCTTTTTGCTGACACCATACATTTATTTTAGGTTTTTTTGATTTGAGGTCATTTATATAGAGGGCATACATGAAAGAAGTCAGTGATATTCATGGAAAAAATCCAGCCTTAACTGCCTCCAAAATTAATCCTTTAGCTTTCTAAACTAAAGATTCCAAGCAAAGATTTCCTTCTGACTTCAACAGAAACAACGTAATTGGTCATCAAATGAGAAAAACATCTAGGTCTATGCTTGTGGAATCTTGTTTAAACAAAATCTATCCACACAGGAGTGTCTCTGGGCCTCTAGTTTTCTTACCCATCTAAGCAAACAGGCTAGTGTCATTCCATGATAAAATTCCACTGGGTGACACAAAAGGTGTTCCCTAGGATGTGTTGAAATAACCTTCAAGAGTGTCCTGTTGTAGAGCATGTAAGGGTTGGAATACTTGGTATGTATTCATTCAGAAAGTAACAGTGTTAGATTCCCTGGTTTAAATGAACTTTCACGGGTGTGTAAGTGAGATGGCTAAGAAATTGGGTGCTGGACAGTGGCAGGTTCAACTCCTGAATCTTTCAGTTTATGAGCTATGGGGTCTGGGTAAATTAGCTGCGAGCCTCAGCTTCCCCATCTACCACTAGGGCTCTTAGGAGGCTGCTTGTAAGTGCTTGATGCTGACAGCTCCCCTCCTCCTTGTCACCTTTCCATCTTTCCCACTCATCTTGAATGTTAGGATTTCATAGAAATACCCACTATCAAAAGTGCTTGCAAAACCACGTATCTGTAGCACGACCAGAAGGATCCTGCGGACAGGTGAGGCTCAGCCCCAACAAGCAATGGTTTTCTTACCAAATCTTCTTTCCTTTGAAGGTGGTGGTGGTTTTGTACTTCCGTTTGTGGATAATGGGCGGATCTATGCCCCTCTTTTCAGAGCAGGATAATCCAGCTTCATTTTCGCCTTACATTCTTACAAGGTCAGTAGAAATAAATAATTTTTAAACTTGGTATTTATTAGACTATTTTAAATGACAAGTTGGCTCCGCGTGTAAAGAAAGAAGGGTTGTGTTCTCTTCCAGGTGTGGCGAGCAAAGAAAATACTATCCATACATTTAGCATTCTTTTCAACAAATAGTGCCTTTGTCAGTATTATTATTACTCTTGTCCTCATATTGGTACATATTTATTAAACAAGTACTTTATTGAGCACTTATCATCAATAATAAATATCTATTCCTGGTGGCCCATATGGCAAATGTTTCAGAACAATGCACAGAGAAGCATATAGAGGTTGGTCCGACATTGTAACTATTTGTAAAATCAGTGGATGTGTTGAAAGTGACAAACGGAAATGAACAGCCATTTTTGCTAAGATATAGCTAATTATATCTTACTATTAGTCCTTAGAAGAGTTAGGGGTACTGGATCAAGAAGTGAGGTTGGTGGGTGGATCTGTCTCATTGTGGTTTTTAAATCCTTATCCATTCAATCTGCTGTGATATGCAGCTGAGGCCCTCCCATAGAAGTATATTTGATAGTTCCATAACTTATCTTCAGGATATATTATTGCAGAAACATTAGGGAGCACTGTTCTTAAATTTTCGGTTTTCTATATCCTTTTAAACATTTAATATATTTTCATAATAGTAAACCTTCACTTTGTTGTGTTTGCAAAGACATGCTAAATTTTGGCTTACTGGTGGTATCTTAGGGACAGTAGACTGGTGATCTTTGCTCTAGTTTCTTTCATTTCCTTTGTATGCTTTCACAAATTTCAGCTTTCTTTGCCTTGTACATTTTTCTTTATGGTTTCTAGTCTTTTCTTCCTTCTTTAAAGACTATTTCCCTCTTAAAAAGGATACCTTCCAGTTTGAATAACCTCTTTATAATAAATATTATGTCACAATAGTTTTCATTACTTACAACACGTATTTATATTATGAAGGTCTTCATACACCTTCAGAAATCATGTAGTGTTCAGCCTCTAGTGCTTACATTTTCAGTTATAAATTATTGCTTATATCTTGTATTTTTCAAAATGTTTTTTTTAAATTCAGGTACAGTTGACATAATGCAATAATACAAAGTGTTGTTTAATCTTGTAGTTAAGCTTGATGTCTCTATCCTAGCATTTTGTTATGTTGCAATCTGCTGTCCTTTTTAGGAACCCTCACTGGCTTTCAAGATGTCCAGGGCTCTTGTGTGGGTACGTTGCAGCTCATTGATAAATTGTTACAGGTTGTGTAGCTCCTAGTGTAGCTCCTCTCTGCCTTTAGAAGAAAAAGCAGATGGCGGGATCTCATTCTGCTTGTGGCTCCGTTTCCCTTCGTTAGCTTGGCGTTGGTTTCCGTCTGAGCTCTCGTGTCTCCTGAATTCGAGTATCCAGTCTTACGTTTGTAGTGAGATGCAGCCTGTTGCCTTAGCTTACCGGTTTCCAAAGCTGAGATGCCCAGTCAGAAAGAGGTAGGTGGAGGAGGGCGAGAACAGACTGCCCTCGGCTCCCTGGCCCATCATTCCCCTCCTATCTTTGTCATCAGTGAACAAGTGCCAGTTCCACGCTTCTTGGGGTCAGGACTGGGAGCCTGTCGTCTGTGGCTCACTGTCCACCTGTCTAGACCCTCTTAGCCGCCAGGGCGAAGGCTGTGTTTTTATCTCTCCTGGTGCCCAAAAAAATTCTTTGGTGGAACCTCTTGCAAAATTAGGACCTTGGGCCAGTCATTTTTCAGGTTCTGCCTTTTACTTACAGGACACATACATTCTCAGAGGGGTCTGATACCCATTTGTGTTAGAACTTTGTCTCTGAATCCATCGAAGTAGCTAGTCCCAGTCAATTCAGTCAATAAAAAGTAATAGAACAGAATATCCTAACACCTTTAGATTTTTCCTCTCCTTCCTTTGAAAAAAACCTATCTTTCTATTGCTGTGTTTCATAACTTAAAATAAATAGGTACCCAGGGACATCTGGGTCACAGTTGCTATAAATGGCTTTTCACATTCCTCTAACATAAGTGCATTATAATTGGCTCTTTTGAGCATCCAGAGAATTGTCTGCCGTTTTTTTCTTGAGTAAGGTTTCCCCTCTGCTTGCATAATCGTGTGACCTCTGGTACGCAGATGATTCTTAAATTGGATTCCTTAGCCTATTTCCTACTTTTGTTGGTTTTTCTTCCCTTCTCATTAGCTGTGCAATTTAGTTACGATTTGGCTGGCTCTTTGAGTCTGTCTATGCTAATCACAGGTTTGTCATTCAGCTGTGTCTGTCTCATTAAAGCTTCACCTCTTTTACTGGACGTAGAGACTCTGAACAACTTTTATAACATGGTTACTTCCATCTTGCAAGTCATACCTTCTTTTAAAGGAGGTTTAATAACTTTATTATCAGATGAGAGTTTTCAGACTAGCTTTCTCTTCCTATAGTTATTAGTAACATAGCAACTTTAATAACTTTTAAGGGTTGCTTGGTCAAGTTTTCCCTGCTTCAGATGATGTCATGTGACTTTAGTTTAGATTCCTTCCTTCTCTTTTAGATGATCTGTTTCCATGTGTTTAGCCAGAAGGAAATACCCTGTCATTTTTTGCTTAACAAAACTGATATGCAAAGTCATTGTGGTGTGCTCATAAGAACCCTTGTTAGGAAAACTGATATAAGACATGGGAATAAGACAAATGATGTGTGATATTCACTGAAATGTACAGCATTTCTAACAAATTTAGGAGAACACAACTTTAAGTTATCATTTATATTTACTGTATTGTACAACTGTCACCTTAGAATTTAATGTAGAGAAATTTGATAGGTGTGATTATTTTTTTCTAGTAGAAAACTTCAAATGTTAGTATTTTGATTGAACTATCATTGATGTACAATTGTGTTTTGGTTTCAACTATACACCACAGTGGTTCAACCGTTACCTATATTATTAAATCCTCACCCCCTCATAGATAGTAGTGCCGTAACTATGTGTCCACATAGAAAGATGTTACAGAATCATTGGCTGTATTTTTCATGCTGCATTCTTATCCCCGTGACCAACTTATATTTTGATTGAGAATATATTTGCGCCCCCTTATTGCCCTCCCCCTCCCCACCCACAATACCCCTCAGCCCCTCCCCCATAGTAACCACCAGTCCCTTCTGAGTGTCTGTGAGTACAGCCAAGATTTGGAAGCCAAAATCGTATAAGAAAAAAGAATGTGAAATGTTCCCTTAATAATTTTTCATGTTGCTTATATGTCGAAGTGATATTTTGAGTACATGAAATGAAACAATATATATTATCACAGTTAATTCATCGTGTTTCATTATATTCTTTTTAGTGTGCTAGAAAATGTGAAATTACGTTTCTGTTGGACAGCATTGGCCCAGAACAAGCCCTGGGGTTCTTGGCCGGCCTCAAGGACAGGAGGAGGGAGAAGGTTGGGTGCGTGGCTGAGGAGTAAGTGGTCAGGGGCAGGCTCTGTGTGCCGGGCAGCCTTTCTCTGCTTCTGGTTTGGCTGACTTCTTCTAATCTGCCAGTTCTGTGTTATTCCGCTGATTCTGAGTGATGGGAGGGTCTCTACTGCACTCCACCTTTTGGTGTAAAGACTAACTTAGAATTGAAGTCCCAACTGAAAATAAAAGCCCCTGGTGGTCCAAGACCATGAGAGCTTCTGACACTGCATGTAAATGACCACCCCAAATTGTGCCCTGGCTGCAACCTTCCAGGGCTTTATGCTTCTGCCCCAGCCAGGTGACCAAACCTGTTCTTGTCTCAGAAGCACTTGGGAATCAAGTGGAAGTATCAGTTCTGGGCTCCAGGGCCCAGAGGTGCTGCTTCCATGGTTCTGACAGACTTGGCATTTCAAAAGTGATAGAATAGGTTTAAGTGCAACTTGTCCTGTCAGAGACTTGTCATTTAGCCCACGTTTTATTCATCTGTTTATGTAAATCTCTTGAGAAATGTGATACTTAGACATTCAATCTTGTGAATCCTGGATTAAAAATAAAACAAAAGCTTAAGTGAAGTATGGCTTCTGCATAGGGCTGGAGCCTGCCTAAGAGACAACATTATGTTTCCACTATTAAGGCCCCTCTCTGCTGCCTCGCAATTGGTTTTCTGTCTGACCAGGTTTGAAGGGGACAGACTGTAAAGCAGTATATATATTTGGTGGAAGAAGTATTGCTTTTATAATATTGAAAACGGTTGTCTTTCAAATCTAGGAAATAGATAAAATGGGATTCTCAGCAAAAGATTATAAAGGCCCCCTACCAGCACTATGTTTTTTTCATGAGATGTGCTCCTGAATAGCAGATAGACTCTATCTGTTTAAGGCGTAGATTTATTTCTGTTCAGAAATTATAGGCAAATGCTTAGGAAAGCATCAAGATATGAAATAATAAGATTAAGATAGAACTCACCAGCTTCCTTCTAAAGAAGCTTGTTTTTCTGTCTCTCCATTTCAGTTGAATGTTCCAAATAGGCACAGTCCCTTAGGTTCTGACTGTCACAGCCTCAGGATTCTCTGTCTTCCTTATATTTTTAGTCCTTGAAGCCTGTAACATGAGGCTGTCTCATAACAAAACTCTGAAAAAATTGAATTAAAGTTTAAATTATTATTAAAATATACACTGTGTGTTTAAAGAGAGCTATTCAAAGCAAGTTGCTTGGCCCCTGCTCTAGCCCTTAGCAGGGTCTTGTGTTAGGAGGGCCTCCATACCTGTGTTTTCTGAAATGAAACTGAAGTTATTTTGCTCATTGAAGCAATGATTACCAAACTAAAGGGAATATCAGAGTCACCCAGGGAAGCATGTTAATAATGATTTCCTGGTTCATGGCCCAGGAATTCTGTTTGAATAGGTCCAAGGTTTGGTGAGAGTCTTTCTTTGACCAGCAGCCTAAGTGTATGCAGAGAGGGGTGTGTCCCCCTTGTTGACATCCTTGGGCATAACCCGTGTCCTCTGTGGCTGAAGAGCTCTCTACGTGAGGCCTGTTGGCCC